ATCGCCTCTTGTCACTCTATCATTACTACTACCATGGTTAATGAGTGAACATCACTGAATGAGTGAAATTTCACGAATTTTCGCACCTTAGCACGGTTGCCTGCGGTACGGTGCGAGAGACGTTCTGTATACAGGCGTTTCTCAAAGTGAATTCATTTTAGACAATGGCTTTATCTGATTATAGAGTCATAGTAAATTCCTCCACACATGTTGAAGACTCGGTCGATTACCAGACTGACTGTATTGTCTCGTCCGTGCTGTGTTCATATGGGACCTTTTTTGCCAGTATCAAAATATTTATGTATTATCATTTTGCCCATCCAAGGACGGGTGTATTGCAGTAAATCTGAAACTTGCAAGCGAAAGCAGACCGCCACGTGATATTCATTGCATTAGTGCGTGTGCATTTTGCAAGGCCGCGGTGACAGACTTATTTCATGTAAAGGTTATTACCCCTTGTTCATCATGACGTCCTTTTTACTCTGATGTCTCAGTAGCGTTACGGAGATCGCGTGACGTGAGGGTTCTGCCTTTGTAATGAGGGTTGTAAGTTGACGCTGAGGAGGGGGGAGGAGGCGCCTCGCCCCCCCCCCCCCCATGTGGAGTGACGTCAGCCACTAATTAATATTAATGACGGGGGTGTCCATTTGGAAGACGTCACCTGCTCATGATTATTAATGAGGGGGGCTGTTCGATTTGATGTGACGTCAACCTGCTCATGATTATTAATGAGGGAGGGGGGTGCTACATGTGGCGTGACGTCTCCCGCTCATGATTATTAATGAGGGGGGCTGGCCGATGTAGAGTGACGGTACGCGCGGGACACAGACATCCTTGGCTCATTATAGTAGTAAATCTGTTTGGTGTTTGAACATCTTAACACCTGTTTTATTGACAAAAAATGGGGAAAAGCCTATTCTTATTTTTGCATCATTTTAATACTGCCAAAAAGGTCTCATATAACTGCTCAACCTGAGCTATTGATACTTTTATACTTGCATTCTCTTTGAACTATTCACATTTTGGGCCTTCTCTGATCTAACTGGTGAGACTAGGCCATAAGAAGGCTGTCTCTGGTGTAGGCCAATCAGTTTCCAAGACTGTGCATATATTATCAGAGCACGTTTGTTTCCATATTTTGCCACAAGTATGTGTGGTTAATGCAGACTTGATAGCTTGCAACAAGTATCTATTTCATGTTTGAACATCTTAACACCTCAGCGAATGCGATTACAGTGAGATTAATTTCTATTGACCCTTTCGTTCCAGCAAAATATATGTGCTTAAATGTTGTTCTTGATAGCTACTCGTCCTGTAAGAGATATGCAGCTGAACGCATATTTGGAATTATGTTAAACTGCAATTAAAAAGAGTGTGAGTGTGTGTGCGCATGCCGTAGTGTAGCAGTTAGCGCCTCTGTGCTACGAACCTGGCAACCCGAGTTCGATTCCCGCTCACGGCTAACACCAGTGACGATTAATTCAATCGGTCCTGGGCCTCCCCTAGGTTGATTCAACCTTAAATGAGTACCTGGTGCGATGCGTAAACTTCGCCACCAGTGGAGACAAAGGCGGCCGGTTGTGGCGCTGTGACCACCCACCCCCTCAGTGTGCCGTACCGGCCTTCGTAGAAGTGCTCACTAACAGCACTTTCCCCAACAGTCTGTTGAGGCTATACGGGGGATATTTGTCTTGTGTGCCTGCACGTGTTGTTCAGCACACTGGCAAAGGTTGCCCCAATATCAGGCCATTCCAGGGCATTTTGTAACTCTAAACATTGTTCACATTGCAGCAAATCTACTCCCAACTTGCCACCCGTCGCTCCTCAACGGGGGCCGTTCGCTTTTAGCGATGTGTTTTTTTATGAGTGTGTGGGAGCCAAGGAAAATGGAGACGAACTATTTTTAATCGTCATATCTTTACAGCGCGAGACAATTGAGCATGTGTATGAATAGAGTATTGATGGGTTTTTTTTGTGTGCCGTCCTGTGTATGCTGGTATCACAGTCCAAATTCCAGATTTAACTAGGAGATGTAATAAACCCATTGGGATACGTGAAACATCGTTGCCGCTTTTATAAGGCCAACTTGGGGTTAAATATTTCATTAAATACTCGTAATTCTAACAAAAGATATGCGAAATAAATAAACATTCAAACTTAACTTTGCTAAAAACAGATAATGAATCTTAAGTTTTCTCGACCTGTCTGATCCACTTTATGCACTCCAAAAAATGTGTATTCATAATGTCAATTATATGGTCAATTATAATAATAGTAGCAATGATGTCTCCCATATACTCAGTCACTTACATATTACCCATATTAGCCTTAACTAATTAATAGCAGCATTTCACATTGGTGACAAATCCGCATTATCCCTGCAGGTAACATGAAATACTAATTACAGTTTTAAATTGTCGCATATCTTAAATAAACATCAGTTTTGAAGGCAGCTGTGTGCGGTGTACGTATTAATCGCACTAATCAGCCTATTCTTACTCATCATTTTTAAACGTTGATCTTAGGTCACCATTTAAGTTCATTATTACACTTCCCTTACCTCCTAGATGTATATATTGTCTTCAATCAGCTATTCCAATGTATTGTCTTGTCCTATAATTCTTTGTAAATGAACAATTACCCTCCCTCCACATTAAAGGGTTACCCGCATTGCTGCGAGCACATTGCAAGGGCGAGCGCAGCAGATAGGGAAGGACCTGAATTTAGTAGGAGTAATAATAATAACAATAATTTCGATTTAAAGCTTTCGTGACTGCAGGGATTCATCTTCTTGGTTCTTTCGGTAAAGTCACGTAGAAGGGAAGATTATGCATAATGCACGGACATAATATGACTTTGAAACCCCCCGCCCACCTCCTACGCATTCCACAACTAGTGACTAATCCCATATCTGCATTTCCCATAAATATGCTAAATTTTTCTTGATATGCAAATTCTTTTGTCAAGGCGCTCTACCCCCTCCAACCCAGCTTAAATATACGCTCCAAACCTGGTGGTGTTTCATTCAGACGCTGTCTTCCCGACAGACCTGTTCTTCACCTGCGGACGGCTGCTTGCGTTGTGGCCGAAACGTCGTGAGAATTATTTTATTATGTTTTATTTTTATTATTTTATTATTTCCCTTCTACGTGACTTTACCGAAAGAACCAAGAAGATGAATCCCTGCAGTCACGAAAGCTTAAAATCGAAACAACAATACCAATGCATTTTTTCGATTTAAAGCTTTCGTGACTGCAGGGATTCATCTTCTTGGTTCTTTCGGTAAAGTCACGTAGAATGGAAATAATAAAAATAAAACATAAAATAATTCTCACGACGTTTCGGCCACAACGCAAGCAGCCGTCATCAAGTGGACAGACCTGTTCTCCACCTGAGGACGGCTGCTTGCGTTGTGGCCGAAACGTCGTGAGAATTATTTTATTATGTTTTAGTTTTATTATTTTATTATTTCCCTTCTACGTGACTTTACCGAAAGAACCAAGAAGATGAATACCAATGCAGTGGCTATGTGGATGGCTGAGGCAGAGCGAGGGAAGAATCTGCCTTTGGCTGTGTGCAGGCGACAGGAGGTCAGCAGAGAAGGCCACCTCGTTGGGTTGGCGCCGGGGGGGGGGGGGGGGGGGGCGAGTGGGGTGGTTAGCGTTTCCGCCAAAAACACCGAAGCCACTTTCAGAAAAGTGGCTGAACTTTTGTCCTTGTCAAGTGCGAGAGCGCTAATTAACGCTCGTCGGCACAAATGGATGACGGCTCCTCCTCTTGCGGCAACACCGAGGGCCTTAAAATAAAATCCGCTGCTGGGTGAAAGGATTGCTCGGTGTGGCTGCTTGCCTTTCGTCCCTCGTTTTTGTTGCATATGTTGTACCGGTCTCTGAATGCCGTGTGCGTTGCATGTTATCTACCCTGCCAGAGTAGATAACAATGAATTGCAACAAATTATGAATATTATGATGAATGCCATTATCACGCAGCTGCTCGCTTTGGGTTGTATTTTGCTGCGTGATGTAAACATTTAATTGTCCTCTACAGGCAAGTATAGCCCCCTTCTGCCTTTACAGATTCATAGCATGGACTCCCGTTACATTAATTAGATTGGGCGGTGGGGGAGGGTGGTGAGGGGAGGTGCAGGGGTCTTCACAGCTAGGGGTCTGGGGACCCCTTAGGGGGCCACCGCAACCATCTGGGGGGTACACAAATGATCAAGGACTGCATATGGATTAGCTATCGGGAGCTGAGAACCGGCAAGGAGGTTGTATTAAAGGATTTGTGTTGCCAATGGCATTGGGGCGCCGTGGTGGCGAGATGTTAACTCTCAGGGGGTTGTGGGTTCGATCCCGACCCTGAGGCCTGTATATTTGGGGTTTGCGTGTCTCTGCCTGTGGTCGCATGGATTTTTCTCCGGGTCCTCCAGTTTTTCCCTCCACATTTATAAACGTGCGTTTAGTGTATTTGGCTGCTCTAAATTTCTCCGTGATAAGCCATTTAGTTCGGCTATCCATTTGTGGGCAGGTCACTTCTGAAAAAGAGCTACATAGCTCAGTGAGCCTTACCTGGTAAAATAAAAAATAGTTTAGTTTTGTAGTGGTCAATATTTTAACACTTCCATGCACCAACACATCAGTGGCAAAACTGAGTACCCATTATATTTCATGCCATGAGTTTATGGTTCCTTATGCTTACAGTAAAAAGATACGTTGTTAAAAATGGTTCACATTTCATCCGAATGAAATATGTTTATAGATATTTTAATCTAGAAATGAAAATCGGATTTTGTTTCAAGAGGCTGCAACTGTTTTAAAGTTGAAACATTTTTGAAAATGTGTGTGGGGTGGGGGGGGGAGTGGAACAAATATTTAAAATTATTGAACAAATACTCCCAAATCCAACCACAGCAGGTATGACTCTTTAACGTAAGAAATAACTAAACAAATACCGAAAATCTCTCTCCGTACACTTATAGCAAAGTATTTGTGCTTTTACAGAGTGGGCGGTTGTGGTGGACTGGGAGGGTTCTTGCAAGTGAAGGTCGTCTGTTGAATCGACGGATATCAGCGCTGGCGTGACGTGGGTACGTTCCATCTCCCTTACGCGTTCACTTTAACCAGACAACGGTTTTAGTAGTCTTGAGTAGACTTTACAAAACACATATTTACTCAAAAAAAAAAAATCGAAAAATACGTTCACAAAAACCGTTCCACTGTATCGTGTAATTATCTTAAGGGGTTAAAATGTACGGGGTGTGTTGTAATTTCCGTAAAGCGCTCATTCCGTGCAGTTCTCTAATACGGGATATCACCAGATTAATGGGGGTGACTGGAAAAATAAGTAATTGGGCAATTGACGCTTATAGAACTGTATTGATTAATGTGTGTGCATGATTTATTAGAGTGGCGTTTCGTGTGCAAAACTTTATTTTGAGCAATTTAACCGTCAAATATACAATCAACATTTCATCACACAGAGGTAATTAGGCCAAACCTTTTGCATTTTTTAATTGTTAAATTATGAGTTCTGCTATTGATTTATATAAAGGATGCTATTATTAAAAAGGCATTTTGCCTCTAATCGAGACCTCTTTAAACTTTAAACAATGATTGATTTGATCGATGTTGAATATTTGTAAAGGGCAAGTCATAACAGCTACAGTCGGTAAATAGTTTACCCGGCGCTTATGGCTAAAGCCGAGCAGTGCGGTTAAGTTTGAGATGCATCATTAAGCTTGTGTTTTTCCAACACAATTAACTGGGTGGCTGAATATGCTACACAAGATTACAAGCTTGTGCGAGTATTTTCAAACCATTAATATTGTTAAAAGGGGCCGGTGTTTGTTTGGAAAGTTATGGTGATGCATTGCCGGCAGAAATTGTACCCAGAGGATGATATCAAACCGTAGGGTCCAACGCCAACACTTTCCTGACGGAATTCCTCCTCCTCGTGGGTTCATTAAATTTTCAAGCAACTTTCTTATGCGTGTAAATAAAAAATAACAGTGGTAGTCACAACGAAGCAACGCGCTTGCTTTATGCAATATGTTTCTAAATGTGGCTTATTTAGAAGCTTACATTTTTTTTGCTAATTTATTTTGAGAGTATTTTGTTTTCATTTTAACAAACCCCCGCTTTAATTTTGCTTTCTAGAGACAATTTAGAGGTGACGCATTTTTAGACAAGGTTAATTTTATTCCAGTTGACATTTGTGATGCATTTGGTTGGATATTAGTCTTCAAAATCGAAACGTGCATTTCGTATAGTATTTAACCATCACTTGTAAAATCACTAAAATAATAGGATAAAGTGATAGGCCAACAACATGACATAGTTAACAGTTTATCTTAATACTATGCTGTATAATTGTATTAGATTACGGACGGTAGTAATGTGCATTGCTCCCACACCTGTGCTCCACGCCTTCACTAACAGGCACTAACCGGCGTGGTGAAGTATGGTCGCATAAATGCCACGGTTCTCACGCCACGGAGAGGCCCTCATCTTACATTGGATCGACAATTTAACTTATATATTTTGTTGTGCTGCCGTGGTGATTCCTGCACTGATAGTGGTAGTGGTGACAGCTGTTGATTCGTGTTGTATTCACTCCTGAGGCTGCTTACTCATCACAGCAGTTGAACCATGTGTTGCCGTGGTTTATGTTTCGTTGTGGATCCAGCGGTGGATCTTCGTATGTTTAAATCATTAATTATTTATTGCTCATTCAATCGTGTGTTAACCACGGTCGAGGCGCAGGGGGCTTGGAAGGGTGCTTAGTGTCGAGTAACATCACAGAAGTAGCTGAAATGCTCTCAGTGACCCGTCCAGTGAAAAACGTGCGCTTTCAGCCGTGTGCTGCGAGAGTTTGACTCGTACAGGAGTTCATATTCTTTTTCTTGCCGTGTTTTTCACACCGGATGACGATTGCTTGTGTTGCAGTCGAAACGTCGTGAGAATTTTATTGTTTTATATTTGTATTATTTTATTGTGACTTTACCGAAAGAACCAAGAATATGAATCCCTGCAGTCATGAAAGCTTGAAATCAAAATTCGTACAGGAGTGTTTGGGTTTTTTTTTTTTAAACGTCCCGGCGTGAGTTAGAATCGAACGTCTCCTCAGCCAGGCGTCAAGTCCACCTTGCCCTCGCCGTTCACTCGTCTGAGCGTGAAAAAATTGTGCAGCGGGGGGCATGGAAGTGTGCATCCTGATTGGTTGGCGAAACATTTTTGGAGGTGTTGGAGAGACTGACTTTGTTCGTAAGCTGTGGCGCTAAGATTGTAAGCACAACGTGCAGCAAAACAAACGAAAAAACAAATACGTATGAAGAGAAAATAATAAATTAAATACTAGCATACGACGTTTCGATTGCACAACAAGCAATCATCATCAGGTATAAATGAAATAGAAACACAAATCTAGTATACTTAGAAATGTAATGTAATACAACAGAGAGTCGAACTGTTATGTTATCCGACTCTGTTGTATTACATTACATTTCTAAGTATACTAGATTTGTGTTTCTATTTCATTTATACCTGATGATGATTGCTTGTGTTGCAATCGAAACATCGTATGCTAGTATTTAATTTATTATTTTCTCTTTATACGTGACTTTACCGAAAGAACCAAAGAATAATTCCTGCAGTCACGAAAACTCCAAATTAAGTATGAAAAAACAAACGCTTTGTTGCGGACACAAACCGTGTTAAGGGTGCCATGCTGTTTCATACATTCACTGCGAATCAAATCAATCACGCAATTTATCTTATTTAAAACCAGGTGATAACCAGCTGAGAAACAGGAATAAACCCTGCTGGTGTGCAGTAATTGGGAGGCCACTCATCTGTATCAATACATCCTTGTAAACATCTTGTTTGCATAGATCAACTGTTTTCAAATGTTCCACATCGGTAATAACCCTCCCCTCCATTCCTTTTTTTCTCTCCCAATTATCTTCATGGGCTCCTACTTCATTTCCCACTCTGTCTTCCTCGCTCCCCTTTCCCTTCAGCGTTCGTCTCATGTGAAGGTTATGCCTGCTTCTCCGCGCATAGCTTCTCAATTAAGCTCTCTGGAAAGACAAAAAAGAAATGTTCGCAACCTCCGCGTCCTCCCGTGACTCCCCGTAACGTCAGGTCCTGCACCCTCCCAGGGGCGGGCGGGGGGGGGGGCATGCCCCCCTCCGTTTGCAACCGCGGCTCTGGAAGGACACCCCATTAGTGCATGAGCACCGACCACAGATGCAAGGCCACACATGCATTTCTAGTTGAAAAAATATATATTTTACGAGGTATAAGGCCCACTGAGCTATTAGCTGCTTTTTCAGAAGTGACCTGGCCACAAATGACAACTCAACGAAGTTTCTTATCACGTGGGAATTTATAGCGTCCAAATGCTCTAAACGTACGTTTCTTAATGTGAAGGCAAAAAACAGAGGACCTGGAAAAAAATCCACGCGACCACTGGAAGAACGTGCAAAATCCAAATATACAGGTATCAGGGTCAGGATTGAACCCACGACCTCCTGCATACCAGGCAAGGTAGTCAACATTTCACCACTTGTGAACATTCTTTTCAAAGAGCTTAGTAAAACACGAACATTCTATAAATTTATATTTCTTGATGTTTGTGTGCGGTACAGAGAAGCAAGGCTGTACTCTTAGGTTTTTTCGGTAAAGTCACGAAAAAACCTAAGAGTATGAATCCTTGCAGTCACGAAAGCTTCAAATCTAGAAACAAGGCTGTCCGTGTTCAGGCTGGAAGCCCGTCTTGAATTAAAAAAGTGACGTTTAATAGTTAAATATAATGGGTCCACTACATAATTGTAATAAGTAGCAAATACTAGTAATTCTGTAATAAATTTAAGAAGGGCTATTGCTTATAATTATTGTTCTCATATTTTAGTAATCCTAATTTGTGTTAGTCCGAGAGATGGTAATGATGGATGACAATGGCCTGATTTTTCTCTCTATATGTTGTCACGGGAGCCTTTTTTATACAATTTGCAGCCACTGGCATACTTTGATAATGCCCAGCAGCGATGCTGCCGAGTTGGGGAGGTGAGGTTCTCATATGGGCTGATCTTCTGCATGCTTGCCTATGAAATATTAACACGTGCGATGACACGGACGCATAAATAGCTGAGCAGGATTGCGGTGCGCTTGGGGTGAGACCGATCGACTGTGCAAGTCATTAGAGCGGATGAGAGGTACGTTACAGGAGTTGAAAAGGAGTTGTGAGGTTTTTTTTTTCTTTTGAGGGTGGCTGAAGGGATTTAAAGGTCCCGAGACTGACAGACATGATAAATAGGAAAAAGAAAAAAAAGTGAGCATACAGACAAAAAGGGAACGGGTTTTGGCCATTTCTAACTTTGAACAAGGTAATGCTGCTGTTTGAACACGATATGTTGGGCCACGATTTTTTTTGTTGCTGAACCGGAATTTTGAACCCGCGACACACCGTCGCTCAGCATTCAGTACCCATTCGTACAATGTGCAGTAAACCTCATTTACCGTGGTGCTTGGTGCTGCGCAGAAGAGACATTTCGTTAGTGGCATTGGCTCGCATGAATACCTCTGTTCCTAGCAGCATCATTGACAACCATTTGTCATCTTCTTGGTTCTTTCGGTAAAGTCACGTAAAATGGAAATAATAAAATAATAAAAATAAAACATTATAAAATAATTCTCACGACGTGAGAGTAGACAGAGTCTGAATGACCTGTCTACTCGACAGACCTGCTCTCCACCTGAGGACGGCTGCTTGCGTTGTGGCCGAAACGTCGTGAGAATTATTTTATTATGTTTTATTTTTATTATTTTATTATTTCCATTCTACGTGACTTTACCGAAAGAACCAAGAAGATGAATCCCTGCAGTCACGAAAGCTTTAAATCGAAAAAAAAGCATTTGTCAATCCGCTGCTGGATGAAGGCCTCCCCCACGCCATGGCCGGTTGTTGACGTTGGTTGACCATACTTCACCACAGCTGTCGGTGTGCGTTGGTGAAGGGCAAGGTGTACAGGACCAAACTTAATTTTGAGCTTTCGTGACTGCAGGAATTATTCTTTGGTTCTTTCGG